CATTTCTCCCTCTCCATACTAAAACTCGTCCATCACTTCCACATAAATTAAACCTACATTCATCTGCGAACATGCACCTACTTCATTCTGCTATTAGTCGTATTCTGCCGTAAGTCCACGCTCGTGAAGTCTACGCCTTATGGTTTGCGTTGATATCCTTATGCGACTTGCTGCTTGAAAGCTCTGGCAGTGTTTGATGGCAATAAGGGTTCTACTCCGTGTTTCATTACGAGCAATCAAACGATCCTGCCTTGATGTTGTTTTCTCGTTCGTCCGCAACGGTGTTGGTAGCGATAACTTGTACTGCCATAAGCTAGTTTTCACTGGCTAGTACCCTTTTCACACTTGAAATTAGGTAGGTATCCGTATGCGTCTCTTCTTGATAAATTTTATGGGCTCCAACTTACCTCACAACATTTCTCAATTCATTTTGGCCAAGTTTAACCATCTGGTAAAATTAAATTTATTATCCATCATTTTTAATCTGACACTTTCCGTATGAGGAGTGAGGGGGGTGAAGCATATGGCAAAAACAGGTGTGACGCCAGGTGACTATTGGCATTCTAATGTAGGGAGCCACCACCTCACATTCCTTTGGAGTTCAGAGCTGTCGCAATTACTCTTCTCAAGTAATTGAATTACAATTATTACCAATTACTCTGGCATAAAAAAAAATTATTACAATAATTACCAATTACTTATAGACTGTCAAAATGTAGTTCAATTACCAACTACCGTTGAAAGTAATTGATTATGTATGCAAATACTTTATTTGAATTACTCATTTATCTGAATTAGCCCTTAGGTAATTAAATTACTTTTCAGTAATTGAATAACTCATAAAGTAGTTAAATTATTCAATTTTTCAATTATTTCAATTCAATTACCGACAGCTCTGGGCATGCTTTTGACGTCAGGCCGACAAAGGGCGAAAAAAGAAAACAGCCGCTAGTCGTTCTCGCTCAAACCAGATCAAATGCCGCCGAAGGTGTTATAGAATTTGAAGTTTCAATTATTAGTTTTCAGTAGTTCAATCCATAAAAGTAATTCAATTACCTTAAATTAATTAAATTCTTTGTAAGTAATCCAATTACTCTAAAAGTAATTGGATTACCTGAAAATTGTTAAAATCAATTACCCATTACGATTATTTCATCTCAGTAATTTAAAACAATTTTGTAATTATTTCAACTCAATTACCGACAGCTCTGGGAGTAATTAGATTTAATTCGACGGACTGTATTTGATACAAGATAAAATTTGCAGTTGACACAAAATGTCATGCCATAGAGTTTCATGCTAAATAGGGTTCTATGACAACATTGGTCCATCGTTGTTGTGGAAACCTATTGCTATAAGGGATTCCATACACCACCAGCGAGATTTTTCGTACCGTTGGCGATTTTATTTTATTGTATCCTGGTATAATCTTAAAACTGGAACCTTGCGTAAGGTCATAGAAAATCTACATGAAATAGGTTTTCCGAATTTGAAGCGCTCGTGAAAATCCGTCATCGTGTTTTCGAATTATAGCATTTTAAAGATTTCATTACTAAAATTTGATGTTTAGTAGTGTATCTAAGGCCAAAGGGCTTAAATCCAAAAAGTGACAAAAACCTCTAGAGATATTGATGTTACCTTAGTAACGAACCATATTGTAACAACTAAAAAAATGTTTTTCCAAAATGTCACACACACAAAATTTTTGCTTGTTTGTATGAGATTGTTTCGTCCACGGAAAATTTTTCGAAAATAATTGTTCGAAAGAAAATTGTTCGGACGGAAAATTGTTCGACCGGAAAGTTGTTCGAACGGAAAATTGTTCGAACGGAAAATTGTTCGAACGGAAAATTGTTCGAACGGAAAATTGTTCGAATAGAAAATTGTTCGAACGGAAAATTGTTCGAACGGAAAATTATTCGAACGGAAAATTATTCGAACCGAAAATTGTTCGAACGGTAAATTATTCGAACGGGAAATTATTCGAACGGAAAATTGTTCGAAAATAATTGTTCGAAAGAAATTTGTTCGAAAGTAAATTGTTCGAACGGAAAATTGTTTTTTTTTGCCGTAAAATCAATAGTTTAACTGTGAATCGTGAATGAATCTATGACCGGAGTTACCCAATTCCGTAATTCTTACTATTTGTCCCTGATTCTCAATTCTTGGTTTTTCAAATTCAATATTAATATACAAGGACTAGCACGCATTAGGTGGACGGATTAATTTGGGTTAGTTTGCATTTTTTTGGGTTAGTTTGGGCTAGTTTACATACTTTTGTTTATTTTGGTCACGGTTCGTTTAATACTGGCTAAAAGCGTACTGCTTGATAATAGGAGGCGCTTGGTTTTTTAAATTTAATATTAATATACAAGGACTAGCACGCATTACGTGCCTACGTGGACGGGTTAGTTTGCATATTTTTGGTTAGTTTCGTTATAGTTCATTTAATACTAATTACAAGTGTACTGCTTGCCAATAATATTTTGACCTGCGCCCTTTTGTCCGCTCGCTTTTGAGCTGCGCTCTTTTGTACCAACGCTGAATTTACGGTTCCGCGGATCTTCCCTTTGAGATTCGGTGAGCGAAGCAAGCAATCGGAGATTCAAAAATAATTGAAATCCCGAAATTTCGAGCTGTTGTATTTAAAAAAGGTTTTTCACGTTTTAGGTAGATTTACGCTTCCGAGGCGCATAAGTACATTTATTAACAATTTTCAATTCGAACCATTTTCCATTCGAACAATTTTCCTTTCGAACAATTTTCCGTTCGAACAATTTTCCGTTCGAATAATTTTCCATTCGAATAATTTTCCTTTCGAACAATTTTCCCTTCGAACAATTTTCCTTTCGAACAATTTTCTGTTCGAACAATTTTCCTTTCGAAAAATTTTCTTTTCGAATAATTTTCCGTTCGAACAATTTTCCTTTCGAAGAATTTTCCGTTCGAACAATTATTTTCGAACAATTTTCCGGGACTCAGATTGTTTATCACCCCGTATATCATGAAAATAGCTTTCCCACCAAAAATGTGTGACATGCAGCCTAATCTAGAAGAGACGCACTTTTGAAAGCCGCAAACCGCGTTCAAAAATATACATTTTTAAAAAAGTTGCAGCTGTTTAAAAATAGGGCAAAAAATTGAATGGACCGAACTTAATGTGGACCAGTTTAGTTTGTAAATCTTTTGAAATTTGTTTGCTCTTGCATGTGCCTCAATATTTATACAGGGTGTTCCATGGTGGATAGCCTATGAAAAGTTTATTGAGAACCGAACAAGAATCATTTTGCCAAATTTAGTATGTTATTGCATTTTTGGATAATTTGTATAATGTCATATTACCTATCTTGAACTGTTTTTTGATTATCCGCAGTTGACATTTTGCAACTTCGATTACTTGGTGAAATATGAAGGGTTTGAAATTAACCAAAGCACTTAACCTATGAGTAAGCCCAAAGCTAAGTACAAAGTTCTGATTTATGAAATGCAATAAAATACAAACTTTACCGAGGCATATTCGTTTTGAAATTTCAGCGGCGCCATTGGTTTATCCCCTGTGAAGTACCCTGTATACATAGGCTTTTCCCTTATTTTGTATATGAACCATTTGGAGTTTGGCATACTATGATAAATTAATAAAAAAAAAGAATTGTAATTGTCTGTACTCAACATACCACTGCTAATATTATCTGGTAGGCCTGCATGACTGTTATACCATACCGTGGCTGGTTCATGAGAGGGAGGCCAACTAAGTTACACTGTATTAAATTGCCAGAAGATATTTCAAGAAAAGATAAAATAAGATAATTGGTTACTTTGTTGTCGATCCCTTAATCGTAATTGGTTGAGGTTTTGTTTCGGATTGGATCGAAATGAAACAACAGAAGTCTGTTATTTCAGATTGTCGACGTTACGCAATATATTATTGCATCTTCAGGACACTGCAAAATGGTAAGACCGTTACTCTATAAAGCCCTAACAACTCCAGTTATGCTTATAGTATTGGGTACTTACATTTGAGATTGTCTGTCTATGTCATAACATGAAAAATATACGAAGTTGTTAGGTAGGTAGGTACAGATTCATAGATGTAACATTCACATAAATGGTACAGTTTAAAACATCAAAAAATATCACAAAAACGTTATAAAAACAATAAATTTATTGAAACTTAAAAATTAACCAATTTTAATATAAAATATATAAGACAAGACAGACACAGCCTACCTACCTAACAACTTCGTATATTTTTCATGTTATGACATAGAAACTCAATCTCAAATGTAAGTACCCAATACTATAAGCATAACTAGAGTTGTTAGGACTCTATAGAGTATATTGTCTCACCATTTTGTAGTGTTTTGGAGATAAAATAATATATTGCGAAACGTCGACAATCTGAAATAACAGACCTCTGTTGTTTTATTTCGATCCAATCCCAAACAAAACCTCAACCAATTATAAAATAAGATACTGAAAATATTTGATGACTCGGTCCAGTTGCCTAGCTACACAGATAACTAACTATTTACGCACACAATTTTTAATAAAGAATCGAAATCTCAAATAATCACGTACCTACCTATATATATGTGATTCCAAGTTACCTGCTTAGTAATATCTGCGAACCAATTCTATAGCCTCTGAAACAATGGGATTTTAAACCATTTGCGGTTATGTATGTCGCAACTTTAATTCCGCCCCTTTTTAACATTATTGCCGTTCAAGGCGAATTAACCATATTTTGGTATAGAAAATTTTGTACTCGGAAGTGTTTACCGCTAATAATGCAATATGCATTACTTTTGATTGATTAAAGTCTATAATAGGATTCCACGAGCCACATATTAGCATTGCTTAGTCGAATTGTAAAGTTATAATACATTGCTGCTTGTTCAGCACTTTGAATTTAGTTGTGTTGTTCGTTACATAAAACATAAAAGTTTACTACTGTTGTAAAAAATGTGTTCGATAGTGTCAAGTTTGTGTTGTTGTTTCAGCTTTCCACCAAAAATGGAAAGGTCGCAAGTCGCCAGTGCATTGGGATCATCGGACAATATCCAGGAACAAACTTACATACAGGCGCCAAATTTCGCACAAAATCAAAATTATGCCACTTCAGCTGCTAGTCCTGTATATTGCAGACCATCGCCTAGTAATCCGGGTTACGTTTCAGTGGTCCAACCTCTACATAAAAAAGGATCATTGAGAAATGGTGATATTCTGAAACGCTCCAGAGTTCAAGCTACGTAAGTATTCATGCGGTTCTTTGTCTTGAAGAGGACATTTGGTCACTTAAGTACGTCTCAGAAATATAAGGGGCGGATACCTAGAAATTTGATTTCATGCAAGAAATTTCTTAATAATGAAAGTAACTTGTAAAAAAATCGCTAATTCAGAATTCTTTGCATTTCATTACCATATTAGGATCTAGGCTGAAAAAAATTAGTTGCAATTTGAAATTACTTAGCCGTGGAGTTTAAGTTTAAAAATGTATCGTGCAATAGAATGCAGTAATCATTTCAGTCATTAGGAACAGACTAATTCTTTATTAATTGCTTTCCACCTGCATCACAATGGTGACTGTGTATCTTCTCTTGGAGGAAAGGGGTCTGTTATTGTTCGGTAACACAGGAGAAAATAACGCAAAATCCATTCCAAGTTTTGTGCTTCTAGTTGGTTCGAGTTTAAATATTTTCAAGCGTGCTCATAATGTGTAGCTATGAATTACCTAAATGAAGATTAGGTACTCGTATGACAAATAATTTAATCTTACTAGTCGGATATGAAGTAGGTACTTAACTGTGATTATTTTATTATAAGAGTAAAATTTAAAACATTCTGTATCCATAATTTGAAAGTGAATTCCTACATAAAATCTAGTAAAATCGTTTGAACAATATCATTATTAGATACCTACTATTTATTTATTCTTTACTGGTATTAGTTACCTTATCATACTTAGTTACCATCACATGTTCAAGTGAAAGTATTTAAATTACACTGAACAAGTTATATAACGTAGATCAGGTTTTTAGACTAGATTATATTTGAAAATGCAATTAATTTCTTGTCTGCCTGCTCATATAGATAAAACTAAGACAATTATTTTTGGTAGAACTATACCAACTGAATATATTTATTTTCAGATATGAATTATCGCAAGACATATTAGACAAACAAATAGAAGTTTTAGAAAGAAAATATGGTGGTGTTAAAGCACGAAATGCCGCACTTACTATCCAAAGGGCGTTTAGACGATACACGCTTCTTAAAAAATTTGCAGCTATTACTGCCATGGCCAAAGCCGAAAAGCGAATAAGTCGAAGATTGCCGCCATCCAATGAAGAAAATAAGTGTACAGGAGATTCTTCAGACCAACAGTGTTCAGAATATATGCGTAGTAGTTTTGACGGGCACGATTACAATAATATGAGATTGCTTCCTGTTAGATCAATGTCATTACGTGAAAGACGGAATGTAGATAGCATGCCAATTCCCAGAAGCCAATCTGGTACACCGACTGGATGCTGGGAAAATTATTCTTCTACTTCTTCATTGCAACATTACTATTCTCCAGGTGATATGAAGTCCGAATCTTTAGGATCGCATATAACTGGAAGTCCAAGTTCCTGTAGTACCCCAACAACTTCTTCTAATGGGTATATTAGGGCACGTAGCAGCTTAAGCAATAGAAAAGTTCCACCAGAAGTACCAAAGAGAACATCGAGCATTACTTCTCGGTCTATCGAACAAGGTAGACATAAATCAAATGGTTTATCAAAAACTGCCGAAAATGGTTCATTATCTAGTGTTCAAAGTTCAGGTAAAATATTTGGAATATTTTATGGTTTTTTCAAATTTAAAACTAACATTATAAATTTATAAATTATAGGTAGCGACAGTAGCATATCAACAGACAGAATTCAATGTGAATTCTCAGGTTCGCCGGTATGGAAAAGAAAAGGAAATCACGGATCCGAATATGCTGAACCAACATTAGAAACTAGCCTGGGCAATATTTCTAATGCCAGCTCTTCTAGTTATACTTTAGTCGAAAGATCATCTGATGCTCAGGGTCCTCAGAGTTACAAGATATCGGAGACAATCAGAAAGCGGCAATATCGAGTGGGTCTCAACCTTTTCAATAAAAAACCTGAAAAGGGTGTAGCTTATTTGATAAGGAGAGGTTTTCTGGAAAATTCGCCACAAGGTAAAATATTTTTTGTTAGAAACTCATTTAGAAAGCTATTGTCAAATTGAAATGAATGTTATTTCTTCAAAAATAAATTGTTTTTATTTATCTTTTGTTCCAATTCAAGAACTAATTACAATATTATGCATAGTATCCATTTCAAGAATACAAGTTTTTGAAACTAGAATTGTCATAGCCAGTGACTTAGGAAAAATCATTGTGCTGTACCAACTTGCAAGAGACAATTATTGCGTATATAAATTTAAACATTTATGAGGATTTTAGCTTGCAGAAGTTCTTTAGGTTTAGGTTTCTTGTGAGTGGTCCGATTTCGGTCCTTCCACTGCGACCTACGGTCTATTGTGGCTCACTCCAAGTTTCTATTTCCCCCATCAGTCCAGCCCTTCTTATGAAGGTGGAGATAAGTGTGGGGGAAGCATGCTTTATGTATTCAGGTCGAACAGCTGACTCCCCGAAAACAGCATGCCTGATTCTGCCTATCGCCGGACACGTGCATAGCAGGTGTTCTGCCGTTTCGTCCTCTTCCATGCATAGGCGACACTCGTCACTTTGTGCTATTCCGATCCTGTGCATGTGATAACGGAGTTTGCAGTGTGCAGTGTACAGACCCACCAGTGCTTTGAGGCTCTTCCTCCCCATTCCCAGAAGTATGTCTGCCATTTTTCCCCCTTTTGGGCAGGGTACAAAGGATTTTGCATGGTTCATGCCTGGTAGTCTCGACCAATATTGTTTGGCCTCTGTATTGGCCCAGGTCGAGATTGTGAAGTTAGCTGTATTCAGGGCTATTCTCAGTACTGGCTCTGGTCCAATGAAATTCAGCTCCGATCCAGTTTTTGCAAGTTGGTCCGCTTTTTCGTTGCCTTCTTGTCCGGTATGTCCCGGTATCCAGACTAGTGAAATGTTGTTCTTTTACCCTAGCTGGGTCAGGGCTTGTTTGCAGTTTCATACTGTTTTCGACGTGCAATGTATGGATGCCAGTGCTTTCAGCGCAGCTTGGCTATCAGAAAATATTGTTATCGACTTGCCTTTGTGCTTTTCGAGCAGCTTTTTCGTGCCAAGCTCAATGGCCAGCAATTCGGCTTGAAATATGGATGCATTTTTGCCAAAGCTGACCGAAATTCCTAGCCTTGTTTTTTCACCATATACCCCTGCTCCAACACCATGTTTAGTTTTGGAGCCATCTGTGTACAGGCAGAGATCTGCCCTCGGTAGCTCGGTCCTGTCGCTGGCCCATAGTTCTCTGTCGGGAAGCATTGTTTTGAAGGGCAAACCAAAGTTGGTTTTCTTTGGCTTATGTCAGAAGGCATACTGAGGGTGCCGTGTCGATTTATTTCATCCAGCCGCACCGTGTGTGTTACATTGCGCTTTCCCCCTCCAAAGTGCTTTCTGAAGCATGGTACAGCCGATAGGTTGACCTCATTGCTTCCCTCTTCACGTATATGTGGAGTGGAGTCAGGTTTATGAGGACTTCCATAGCTGCTGTAGGCGTGGTGCGCAACGCTCCCGTTATCGCCAGGCAAGCTATTCTCTGCAGTCCGCTAAGTGTGGCTTGGGCCCTTTTTTGATTCGCCTTTCCCCACCATACTACAGAGCCATAGGTTATCATTGGTCTGATAACCATGGTGTAGATCCAGTGAATCTGTTTTGGAATTGTTCCCCAGGTCTTTCCGCAGATCCTGTGGCAGTTCCAAAGCGACAATTTTGCCTTTTGGCTTACTTTTTCCAAATGAACGTTCCAGTTTAGATTCTTGTCCAGGGTGACTCCCAAATACTTTGCTTCATTTGAGAATGGTACTAATTCTCCCCGAATAGTTAGGGGCACCAAGTTATCAAGTTTTCTTCTCCTGGTGAAGGGTACTATGACCATTTTGTGAGGATTGATTGTCATTTCCTCTCTCTCGCACCAATCAAGCATGCAATCTAGCACCTCTTGGAGTGCAGCTGAGACCCTCGTCTCAGAACTACCCCTGGCTATTATAACTAAATCGTCCGCATATGCTTGAACCTCGACCCCCCCACAGTTGTATCACGGCCAGGAGGTCATCCACCAGAAGTGACCACAGAATCGGAGAGAGTACCCCTCCCTGCGGACAGCCTCTGGCGGCCCTGAACCTGACCGTTTCCCCCTGTAGAGAAGTCGTTATCACTCTACCGTTCAGCATGGTCATAATCCAGTTACAAATTAGCGGGTCGATGCTTCTAGATTTTGTTGCCTCGTAAAGGGAGCTTGGCATCGCATTGTTGAAAGCTCCCTCTATGTCCAAGAAGGCGGCAAGTTCAATGCTCTTACGTTCCAGAGAGTCGTCTATACTAGTGACCAGGTTACTAAGAGCCAACTCTGTGGACTTTCCTGCCTGGAAGGCGTATTGATGGGTACTAAGAGGGTTAGCCCTGAGCGCCTTCCCCTTAATCAACTCACCCAGCACTTTTTCTAAAGTTTTCAGGAGGAACGATGTCAGACTTATTGGTCTGAATGATTGGGGTGTGGTTTCTTTGCGCCCCGCTTTAGGGATATAGATCACCTTGGTAGCTGTCCAGCTTGGTGGAATATGGTTCCACACCAGACTGGCTCTGAAGAGTCTTATTAAGAATGGAAGCAGGATCCCAAGTCCGTTCTGTAGCAGAGCAGGGGAAATGCCGTCTTCCCCAGGCGATTTAAAAGGGTGGAATGATAGGACCGCCCCCTTTATGGCCGCCGCTGTAATTATTTTGTTCGCCGTCAACCAGTCTTCTCTTCCAGGTCGTTTAATCCGATCACTGGGTAGGGCATCCTGGAGACCATTCATCAGCAGACTTCCTGGGAAGTGGTTCTCTGCGAGAATCTCTAACGTTTCGTTTCTAGATTGTGTGTTGGATCCATCTGGGCGTTTTATCGACCCTAACTCCTGCACACGTTCTTTTGACCGGATCTTGTGGATTCGCGTACTGCTAGGCACATCTATTATGCCCTCGCATAGCTTCCTCCAAGATTCTTTATTTGCCTTTCTTATTGCTTTGTTGTAATGTGTTAGAGCAGCTCTATAGGTTTCCCAGTTACCTGTTGTTTTAGCTCGATTAAAGAATTTCCGAACTTCTTTCCTCAATTTATTTAGGCCATTGTTCCACCAGGGTGGGCTTCTGTTATCTTTTTTAACTCTTAGTGGACAGTTTTCTTGAAAAGCTGATATGGTGGCATCGTTTATTCGGTCCGCCATGTAATCCAGCTGATCACGATCTCTGATAGACAGAGTGAAGTCACGCAAGTTATTTCCAAGAGAAGTTCTATATCCGTCCTAATCAGTATTCCTTGCGTTTCTGTACTCCACGGCCTGTCGTGGGCCTGTGTTTATTTCAAATCGTATGTGCCTGCGGTCCGAGCACGATGGCTCGGATGACACGTGCCAGTCGATTATTTTATTAGAAATAAAGTTTGAGCTAATTGTCAAGTCTAGTACCTCTTTCCTGTTTATAGCTACAAAGGTTGGCTCTGAGTCTAAATTGTTTATGGTAAGCCCCTCTCCTAATAAAAATTTGAATAAGGACTCACCTCTGTTGTTGATATCGGTGGGCGTTGGCAGCGCACCCTAGCACCAATTGAATATTCCTCCTCTTGCAGTGGGCAATTAGTTCTGCCACAATTCTGGGAGGAGGAGCTTCTGCATTTCTGTCTCTGGGGAAGTATGCTGAGCAGGCGATTAATTCCGTCCCGCTCTTCCCCGGGAGGATCACATGGATGGTGGTAGTCTTTGCAGAAGCTGGAAAGTACAAATTAGTTTATGTTATTTCTAGCAAGTATGCATGCTCTTGGCCTTAGCCCGTAAGCATGTTCTATTACTTTGCCAGAAGTGTTGCCCAGTCCGGTTACTCGGCCTGTGTTTAATGTCCAAGGTTCTTGAATGAGGGCTATATCTATCAGCTCCTCATTAAAGACCTTGGTAAGAACGGATGTGGCCGCTCTTGAGTGCTGCAGGTTTGCCTGCAGTATTTTTATTGACGAGGCCATCTTACTGTCCCGTCTGTGGTGGGCCCTCGCCTGGAGGTTTGTCAGGGCGTTTAGGTCTCTTATTTTCTCCCTTGCCGGTACCCTTTTTCAGGTTGTTACCCGGGATGGATTTACCCTCCTAGGGTTTTTTGGCCTGTTCATTCGGTGGTTTTTCACCGCCCGATGTTGGTTTGCCACTAAAAGGCCCTCTGTCGCGCCCTCCAGGCAGACCAGACTGCTGTCGTCGGCACAGGTTATTTGCAACCATCCTGGGCGATGAGTGCAGCCCTGGAATCGCACCTGCGGACTGCCGTCTGGCATGTTCTGCACTGCCTCTAGGACGGCCTGTTGAAGGCTAGTCAGCTGTTCGTTGGTGAATACTGCGCTGGGGTAATCAGGGGGGATTAGTCCCAGCCTAGTCGCCCCAACAACAGCCTTGTAGCTTGGAGCACCAGCCCTGGCACGTTTGCTTGCCTGTTCTGAAGTGGTGGTGTCGGATCGCAGGCGTTTTCCTGCAGCTCCGGAGTTGGATTTATCCCCCTCTGGCTGCTGGATTTTAGTCGCCTGCTTTCCGATTACCTCTTTCAGAGCGGCATCGGCATCGTGAGAGATCCCGCTCTTGATAAGACGACTCAGGTTCCTTCTTTGAGCCTTTGATAGTCTTAGTCTTTTTCTTTTTGTTTCGGTGCTTATTGCCTCCCGACTGTCTCCGTCATCAGACCGCAACAATTCCTGTTCCTGGTCTGATGTTGGAGGGATGGTTGAAGGTGTCTCGCCGGCTTCTGGAGCCAGAGTCGGATTTTCCACCTCCATTGTTTCCTTTTCACCAATATCTTTGTTTCTGTTTTTGTGATCGTTACTCATCATCATCATCAACAGTGGTGGGCTCCCTTAAGCCCCCCCAGAAGTTCATTAACTACAACCAAATAGAGACTTTTAATTTGATGTTATTTATTGGTGTAAATTCGGTGATTCTGTAGAGAGAAACTTCAGCAAACCTTGATTTTCTCCTGTGGTTGTAAGAGTGCCTGTTTTCAAAATATGGTTAATCAAGCCAAAATCTTGTGCACATTTGTAGCTACAATTTTGTAATAAAAAAAAACACAAAACTTATGAATACATGCCGGTTGTTGAGTAGCTCGTTTTGTGAAGAATTCAATTTTCATTGGTTCTCAAGTTAAAATTAAAAAAGCGGATAAGTTGAAATCAGGCATTGCACAACACTGGCCGCTGATATGGCCATAATGTGGCCACATATCATTACCATTGCCACATTGCTTGTATAACACATGAATGTGATATATTTGTTGGGTTGGTAAAAAACTATAGCTAAAGATTGAAATGCCATTTGTCCCAATAATTTAATTAAGAAATTCTTGATATTATGTACAGAGCCGTGAAATTGAAAATGTTTGATTCAACATTTTTCCTAATGATTTTTCAAAGCCAAAATAAATTCTTGAAGGGCTATTCAAACGTTCTTCTTTTTCTCAATTTTTGTTCATTTTAAATTTTTGTTCAAAAACATGATATACATATATGATATCTATCGTTTTGTCCTGCTGTTGAAACAACTATACTGTCTTAAATAATCTTGGGATTGGTCGATACATAATCATTAGATTATTTGAACAAACTAGAGAAAAGGCTCAATTCGGCCTACGATCAGACTTGAACTGAGTGGCTTGACCCAACCCAAAGGCACCAGGCAGTTGATACAAAACTCTTGTTTGCTTCTCATAACTATACCTAACGTTTGTCTGGATGCTATAAAAATTATGGGCATTATTTATCGCAACCCTAGAAAATTCACCAATACTTCAAGCACTCGTAATATTAAATTTTAGCAATGTAGAGATCTGATCTTGGCTTTAAAGCTGATTAATCCAACAAGAGGTACTGAACGGACCTTGCTTCTAACAAGACTGGAACTTCTCCATTTATGATGTAGAAGCAGTATTCTCAGGGGCGCAAGTAGCTTGTTGGTTTTGGGGGGGCTTAAGCCCCGGGTCTCTATAAGTCGATTTGGTGACAGTATATGATGTTTTTCAAAACTTACTACAGTACGTATTTCACAAATGCCCGAATTTGACGGAAATACTCAGCTATAAACTTTTTTCTTCGATTCATAGTTGAAAAAAAAAAAAAAAAAAAAACAAAGTTGTAAAAGACATTTTTATGTACATGGTGGTCCGTTTATTTTGTCCTATCTCGATATATGGGAATCTCTCAAGAAATTTAGATATCTTATGACAAAAAGTATTACCTATACAAAAGTTGTAGGGTTTAAATCATTAATTTGATTTTTTGTATGTTTCCCTTTGGTCAAAGTCCGACTTTAAAATATTTATTTTCAACGTCTAACGCTTCTACGGTTATCTAAAAATTGGCCGTTCCCCGAAGATAACCGTAAATAAATCCGAAACCGTGCATAACAACCTTATCAAACTATACAGGGTGATTTATGTAGCCCATGCATTAGGTTGCAGGTAGATGGTATTTCTACTAATCCACCTGCAAACTGCACAATTTCTAATGCACGGGCTATGTGAATCACGGTGTATATATTTGTCTTTGCAAGCGCTATCAAAAAATATAAAAATATACTGGGTCTTCTATTACAAGGAAAAAATCTGATGTGTGACACTTTTTTGACACCCCCTGTATATGCGCAAATACAAAAAACAAATTAATGATTTAAATCCTACAACTTTTGTATACAACTTTTTGCCATAAAATATCTAGATTTCCATATACCGAGATAGGACAAAATAAACGGGCCACCCTGTACATACATACATAATATGTAAGTGAAAATATATTGAGCTTAAAACTTTTTAAACTACTTAAATTGGTACTAAAAACAACTTAGAAACTCAAACAAGTTCTGTTAAATTAAATTCCTCTTAAGTGCACAAACAGCCACGGACCAGCAGACGAAAGGGTTAAAAAACTGTTGTGTCACTGAAACGCACCCTACTTTAAGCTCCGTGTTTTTGATGCTCCCATAAAATAGCAGGTGCTTGAGAGGACAGAGGAGAGGAAAAACGAACAGTTCAGTTGCGCGAAACTCTAATGCAGTCTCTAGTCCAGGACGCTCTAATTAGAGCAGCTCAGGAGTGCTTAGAGTGCGTCACTGGAAAGCGACTCAGATCTGCTCGCACGGGTTTGGGAAGGCGAATGGCTAATTTGTGTCATTACCATCATGTTTGTGACGACCGGGTTTGGGGAGGCTAATCTTGAGCTAGGGGGGGCTAAGCCCCCCCCTAATTGCGCCACTGAGTGTTCTCCAATCACACATTGACTGTTCTGAGTTGCTAATGAAGATACACTTCATGTATGTGCAAAACTCACCAGAAACCCACCAATAGTTCATTTGCCAATACCCCCACAAACTTTCTTGGGAAATTTGTTGTGGGGATGGTAATGCCATAATAATTCAATGAATCTGCATGATATCGCCTGCAGTGATATTGAGGGTTATGATTTATCATGCGGCCAGTTATCCAATGTGTTAAAAAGAAAACTTATGTCTGAAGTCCTTGTTTTTATACGTATATGGCCAATAACTTTTTTTGTGCTTTCAAGAAATTACATTTGTCAGGTGTGACAGACGTATGAGTCAAAAATTGTAAGCTGTTTTTTCTTCTGGATTAGCACAACCTGATTCAAAAAACAATTTTTTTTCCAATCCAAAGCAAATGCTTAGAATAAAATCTCATATGGTGCAGACTTCTCCCCGGTACTGTAGGTATATGAAAGTTATGAAATGTAAAAAACTAATAAACTTGGAAACAAATTTAAAAATACATGATTTCTGCTAAATTGAATTCTCCATAATATAAGCTACTTGATGAGACAAAAGCACCCTATTCTTCAACGTTTTCATCTTTTTTTTTGGACTAAAAATATTGTTGTTGATACTCCATATCGTAATTAAGTTTACTAATGTTGGGTTGAAATCATCACAAAAAGCTAAATTTGTGGAGGAGCTGATTTTTTGGTTTTATTTATTGCCTATAGAAACAGCCAAACGGACCTAGTTATATCTTGTTGCAAAATATTGACAAGTATCAGCTTTTAATTTTAAAAAACTAGCAATGTCAAAATGTCCGCTTTAATTTTTGCAGAATTATCACTAATTAATACGGGACCTATCCGAATCTGTTACATTACAGTCACAATTTAATGTATCATTGATCTAATTATTGAAAACTTCAGTCGTAGGAAATAGGCTAAGCTGCATGTTAACAAAAATTGGGGCTTTACATTTCAAATTTATTTTTAGGCGTTGCGCGATTCCTGATATCCCGTAAAGGTTTAAGCAAGCAAATGATCGGTGAATATTTGGGAAATTTGCAAAGTCCGTTCTGCATGGCCGTTTTGGAATGTTTTGCTTCCGAATTGGATTTGTCTGGCATGCAGGTAGACGTAGCCTTGCGAAAATTCCAACAACATTTCCGTATGCCAGGAGAAGCGCAAAAAATTGAACGACTTATGGAGATTTTCTCTCAACGATACTGCCAATGCAATGTGGATATTGTTACAAGATTACGTTCGCCAGACACTGTAAGTTTATATTATTGATTGTTTATAGAAATATAATTACATAAATTGTTAATTTTCAGATATTTGTTTTGGCTTTTGCAATAATAATGTTAAACACTGACTTGCACACACCAAATATTAAACCAGAAAGGAGAATGAAAGTAGAAGATTTCATTAAAAATCTTCGTGGTATCGATGACTGTGGGGACATTGACAGTGATATATTGAATGGAATTTATGAAAGAGTTAAAGCAAATGAATTTAAACCTGGATCTGATCATGTTACTCAAGTCATGAAAGTCCAAGCCACTATAGTAGGAAAGAAGCCAAACATGGCATTACCGCACCGTAGATTAGTTTGCTATTGCAGATTATATGAAATTCCTGATATAAACAAAAAGGAGAGACCGGGTGTTCACCAAAGAGAAGTTTTCTTGTTCAATGATCTTCTAGTTATAACAAAAATATTAAGCAAAAAGAAATCTTCAGTCACTTATACATTTAGAAATAGTTTTCCTTTGTGTGGGATGGTTGTTACTCTATTTGAGGTTCCACGTAAGTAATTTTTTGATACTTACTAAAAAATTATTTGGGAAATGTTAAAAAAATATGCATGTTTATTTTAGATTATCCATATGGTATAAAGCTTAGTCAGAGAGTTGATCAAAAAGTGTTAGTTACATTTAATGCAAGAAATGAACATGACAGGTGCAAATTTGCTGAAGATTTAAAAGAAGCTGTAAGTGAGATGGATGAAATGGAAAACCTAAGAATAGAGGCTGAATTAGACAGACAGAAGTCTAATAGGGGTAACAGATCTGGTAGGTATTCAACTGTTAAGAAAAACTAAGTAAAATCTGTTAAGTTTTTGAAAAAAGTTCAAGGTAGGTTTGCAAAAATTCATTATAATCCTGCAATTGTTCTAGGAACGGAAAATAGAGATAGTGGTGTTGCAGATGTGGAAGTATACCCGTGCCACCAATGTCCTTGCTCACAGAACCCTACATTAGGTCAATCACAAAATTGTACCGACGAAGTTCAACATGACACACAAATAAAACGATCCGCTCTGAGTAATTCACTGTTGGATATACACGAACAATGTAAGTGAAAATTGATAATTTCTATTTTTGTTACTAATGATTATTATTTTAATATAACAAATGGAATTAACTTGTTTAGCTATACAGCATCATTTTTGCTATCTATTTCAAATTTTTTTGGAAGTATTTAAATCTTCCCACACCCCCAGCTATAATCGCTTTTAAAAGAAAAATTCAATCGGAAAGGGTGTCGATACAGTTTTTGGTTTTAAATTAAAACTCCTAATTTTGGATTTGACATTGTTATCCTAATCAAAATAGCGGCCTATACCTTTTGTTTTCTTGATTCCCACATTCGTTAACTTTAAAGTTTTTAATATTTGTTGAATGATGCTTTTAAAGTGATAAAATATCGTCACTGATATTTAGCAAGCATCACATTTCAATGAGAGTTGTGTTACTTCAACTCCAGATGTAATGACACATTTAAATAAGAAATGCCAGATTTTCTATTTTGAAAATTGTTCTGATTACTCATGAAGCCAGCTCTCCACTAATAGCGAGTTGCTATGCTTTGTCTTGATTTGTCATTCATTACTTTAATATAAAATAAGGGACCGATTAAGCTAGGATGAAAACAATAACTTCAAAATTAGGGGTCTAATGGAGGTGGAAAGACCTCTAAACACTCGATCCCCCTCACACATTTGCAATGCAAAATTGATTATTTTTTTCGTCAATGATCACATTGTCTAAATCTCCTTATTTGGTAACATTTCTTGATACTTTGTAATAAATATGTTGCTGAACTTGCTAAATACAAGATAACGGTTGGGTAGCAGAAAACTTGTTCGTTTTCCTTTCATTATCACTCTAACCTGGTTCAGATTAATTGAAAATCAACTAAAAAGTGATGCCTTGACATCATCTCGAATTGTGTCAAAATGACTAAAAACTAACGGAGAGTTTTGTTTTTTCAATATCACATAAAATATCTAAAACTGACTCTGATCATTCAATTAGATAAGTATTTTTTTAGTGAATTTCGACACAAATTTGCATTTTCTCTCTTGAATCAGCAAGTAAATGTGTGTTGATTTGGATTGTTATTTAAGGCAATATTGCTTGTTTCCTTGAATTAATCGACATTTGTTCGGGAAATAACATGCCACCATTTCCTTTATATCTGTATACTTACAATTGATATTCAACGTCTTTCGATATCTGTTAAATTAACTTTAAAATAGTTTTACACAAACTGAAGTGCTGATTCTGGGAGTACGCTATATTCTAGTTTTTAATAATATACAATTATTTACACCATTTCATTTTAATTATGTGTGAGTTATCAAAAACACCTTAAACATCTCAGAGCTACTAAAGACACCAACTTAGATTCAGTGGTTGAACTACCTAAATAGTGGCTGCCTCTTTTAGGAGTTTTGGACCTGGGCTGGAGTCTTAAGTGGCACTACTGAAATGTTTTAGGTAAGTTTTGAAGAAAAAACTCCATCAATTATGCATACATGGTATTAACCTTAATGCAGTTGCAGGAGAAAAAGCCCAAAGACGTGGAAGCGTGGGATCACTCGATAGCGGCATGTCGGTATCGTTTCAATCAACTTCGACCAGCACCTGTTCTAGATCAGATAAGATGGCCGGAAAACAGGGAAAACCAGGAATGCACCACCACCAAGGATTTTTAGGAAGCTTATTCAACAAACGACATACTAGTGGCAACAATATTACCCCGAAATCTACAGAGGTATAACGAAGAAGTCCATTTCCAGGCAAAATTCACTTTTTGTAAATAATTTAATTCTTTAATTATTATTTATTGAAAAATTATGTTACATATTCTTACCAATTAATAATTCGTACCTAATATACAATTAAACAAAATCTAATTCTTGAAAAATAATACAAAATTAAGAGTAAATAAGTGAGTGTATGAACACGAAATAAATATATATAATTATTCCATTCTTATAGGTGTTATTGTTAAATTTTTGTTGCACTCTTTTTTTTACTAATAATTGGCTTATAGCACTAGTCACTTAATATTATACCTGTAGAAAATTAAGAATGAAATATGCTATATTTGCGAATTTTTATAGGGCTAGCTCCTCTTTTATTCTAAAAAATTCAAATCTTAATTCAAAAATTAAAAAATTTAAAAATTTGAAGCATCCATTGTTTTTGAACATAGTGGCACAATACATAGAATCGCTCAAATATTCAAAATTAAAACGAATAGATTTTACTAAAATCAAAAGCCACTCTAAAGGTCTTTTTAAAATGTTTCTTTCAATTCAACTAGCCTCTGTTTCTCTCAGGTATTTAAGAATATTTTCTCGTAAGGATGTATTCTTGTAATGATGGCTGCAAATGAATGTTCTGAAAATAATTCAGAAGATTCACTACAAGTACTGAATTACGTCTGCATGTTTCGAGATATAAATTTGAGAGGTTAACCTTTTCTTAGTTATGACTCACAAAGGTTTTGATGCCGATGTGATGTGTCTACATTCCAATTTTTTTTTCACAGCAACAAAAATATTTTCAAATTCACCAGTTAGATTAGTTAGAGATTTGATTCTTAAATACTTGTTGTGGACAATGAAAAATTAAGTCCTTTGTTTTAATATGGGACTCACACCTCAGTTCATTTTCTTGCAGTATCACCGGAAAACATCCTTATGAATTTCCAAAAATGATGCAGAATTATTTTTCTTAAATAAATAAGTAATTTGGCTTTAATTTAGCTGTACAGGGAATAATGGACACTTATTTTGAATCTTAGGCGTCTATTCTCTAATATATCCTATATTTAAAGTTATTTTTTGACTACCATGTATAGATTACAGCATACCCAGCAACTAATAATTAAAAAAATATATTTCCTTTTTTTATTCTGTTGTAGTTTTAGGCCGATTTCGAAGAATATGTTTTTTTCCCTGAATACTTTTCGTTTCAAAGTTGATCGCTATGCTCAATTATCAAATAATATAGTGGATTTTATTATCATCTACTGAAACAAATAAAATAATTGCGTTACTGATACTTGATAAAGAAACATACCCCATATCAAATTGTTATTCTACATTTTAATTAATCCAGATAATTCCGTGATACGTGTATTTTTTTTATAAATGTAATATTTTTTTAGTATTGTTCCATTGTAACATAAAAAAAGGATGAATTTATTTATATTATTTATAGGTACCTTGGTGTAGTTAACAAACCATTTCGATTTCCTACACTAAAAAGCATTTACCATTGAAGAGTGTGCGGAAAAAAAGTATTGGGTATACTCTTTTTAGAAAAAATGTCTACCTGTAAAAATCTTGAATTTATATTTCAAGACCGCTGACCTACTAGCTAATTTATTGATGTTTTTTCATAATCACGCTGTATATAATAGTTTCCTGTTGAATAGGTAGCAATTTTTAGGTCCATCAGGTGTTGTGTATAGAAGTTACTGTGACGGTCCATAGTTTAATATTCACTCTCGAATAAACCAGCTGTTTACTTAGTGATTTAACTACATATATATTAAAAAACTAATTTGTTTGTATTTGAAACAAGTTTTTTCATGTTTGAACCCTAAAAAAGTTCTTGAAAATCAAAATAAATGAATATTGAATTGTTATACCATAGCGATTTCTATTCCAACCAAAAGTAGTAGTACCTATATGTATACTTTGAATTTGTTCATTAGCTTGAAAATGGGTAGAACAATAAAAAATTTGTTTTTGATAATAATATGTATATGCTTTCATTGTAATATTGATTGGCTGTATCAGTTCTAATGTTATTCTTATCTGTAAATAATTATAATAATACCAACAGCAGCACCATCAATCACAATAATTGATGAAAGCTAAACATGTTCTAGTCGAGTGTATATAGTATATAGTTGGGAATCTCATGCTACTGATATTAATTTAATTAAATGTGCATTATGTGTTTTTTTAACTAATAAATAAATAGTTTAACTGGAATATGATTTTTTTTTTAAATATTCTTAGACTCTTCGAAACGAGGTATGTACCATTGTGATCAAAAAGAGGTAGTACAACAAAAATCTTCTGCGTTAATATGTCATTGCATCAGTAGTTCAACTTGGGGTTAATAATTTTTGTACTACTTTTTTTTTGGATCAAATGTAACTAAACAAAAATATGGACAAATGCAGTTTTAGAAACATCAGCCATCTGCACCAAATCAATTTATACATTTTTTTGATCTTTACTGAACCTTGAAAATATGGTTAACTAGGGATTGCAGGGCATGCTAATATTAGAATTATTATAATTTATAATACATATAACTAATAAAATTAAGGCCCGGTTTATTCATCTTCAGATAAACTTTCTGGTACCTATCTGCAAGATAAATTTACGTTCTGTAGTTCTATTGGATGGCAAACAACTGGCCGACCAATGAGATTATAAATTGCGTTTTTATCCCTTAGACGGCATACCTGACAGTTTATCAGAAGGTGAATAAAGCGGCCCTAGATGGTATAAAATCTAAATTTAAGACATAATTTTTCCATAAAAAAAGACTTAAAGTGGTTTTTATTTTTTTTTTTCTCCAGTTTTTAGGATGAGGAACCATCACCATCTTTTAACAGGTACTTGTTACGGTGTTTTACAATACGGCCTCGAATTGGTTTTAAAACTGTAGGTGCTGAAGGGTTGAAAATATAAAAAAACACAAAAAAAGAAAAAAAAACTATTGTTTGTCTCAAGAATTTGGATGGAGTTACCTATCTTACGCCCTAGTGCAAGTGCCGTGACTTTAAGTCCTGTCTGGTACTAAGGCCCTTCTGCTCTTCTATCCTAAACCATCAGGATCAAGCAGAAAATACCATCCAGAGAACTATAGTCTCCTGGAGCGTACATGCACCATCTTTTAGCAAGGACTCGACAATTTGTTTTAGAATAGTCCCTAAAATTGATTTTGGTATCAGTGGGGGATGAAGGGTTGAGAATATCAAAAATCTCTATAATAGGGCTTTTATTCGTTTTCTCCAGAATTTGCATGGGGCACCACTAACCATCTTTTTGCAGGAGCTTAACAAAGTGTCCTAGTGGTGGAAATTCTAGCGTGGACAATAAATGCTTCTTGATAGTCAGGAAATTTTTCGTCTTGCATAAAATCTGCTAAAGTGATTCCCCTTCATCATCATATCATAGGCGATCACTCGATACCGAGTATGATTTTCTTGTAATCTATTCTCATTGTTGTCGATTGTGCGTCGGATAGCTATATAAACCAATTTGTCTGTCCCACATAACATTCAGTTTTGAGGCTCCAGTTTTGTAGAGCCCGTTTCACCTTGTCGATTCAGCATAATGTCGGCGTGCTCAAAATGTCGTATCGATTTGACCGAGAAAGAGGTGGAATATAAGATAATCTGTTACTTCTGTGGTGTCTGGAATTGCTTGGCCTGTATAAAATTCTCATCCTCAGAGGCTCAGGTGACACGGTTAAAGTGCAGAGTTATGCTTTATGCATGCAGTGGCTGTGTAAATTCCGTGAAGTCACTTGGAAATGATGTTGGTGGTGGCTTGAGATTGCTTATCAAGGATGTCACCAGTGAGGTGTGTGACACACTCTATAATAAAACTTGCTGGTAAGCTGAAGGGTATGAATTCATTCCTTCAAGACAAGCTTATAGCTAACTATGATGATTTGAAATCAAATCTGAATGTTGGTACCAACAGCGTTGGTTAACTCAAAGCCAATCTTTCTTCACTGGAAAAGTCAAACACTGCTGCAGGCGATAATATTTCGGAAATAAATAATGCAAGCCTTGTCATGCCCAACTCAGCAGCATCTGTTGTTTATGATATGGAGATAATGCAACTGGAATAAAGTAACAAAGATTTACAGAGTAGGCTACTCAAGCTAGAATATGAGCTCTAGCTACTTCCTGCAACCCTGAATTCCATAAAAAACTGTATCAAACTCCTCAGGTCCTTCGCCAACCCCGTCTCAATTCCAACCTACTTTACAGTCAGTGCCCATAAGGAATGAATCAATAAGATTTCAATCATCCAATAGTGCGCAACTAACTGGTCAGCAAAAGTCCCAGCGACCAGTCCGCAGCATAGAGCGCCAATCAGTGCCTAATCCAGTAAGAGCATCGGAGCGTTCCAATAACAATCCTGTATTAATCGGTACAGGTGCCAACAGAGGTCTTTCCTCTGCAGGTGAGGTGAGAGGCGTCAGTGGCTATATCTGGGTCGATGTAATCCGAGTACCACCGAAAAAATAGATCTCTGACTATTTGAAGGATCAGCTTTCCATTCCTGATGTCAAATGCTCGGTATTGGACAAAAATGACGATGTGGTTTCATTTAAAATTGGGGTTAAAGAATCACTTTTGAAGGGCCTGCTAGATCCAAAGCTCTGGCCTGTAGGCATTGCTGTCAAGTAGTTTCATCCTCGTCGTATGGGGGCAAAACCCTCCACAGCAAATTTTCAGAGGGGACCAGTCTCATTAGATTGTGCTAACTTTCTGTACCAAAATGTAAGAGGCCTAAAAACTAAACTCAAACATGTTGTCTGTGCTGCTCGCGCCGAGTCTTTCTCAGTGATTGCACTCACGGAAACTTGGCTGGACTGTAGTATCTGTGATGCTGAATTTCTTGACTCACGTTACACGGTTTATCGCTGTGATAGGAGCAGTCTAAACAGTGCTAAAAGCCGTGGAGGTGGGGTGCTTCTAGCAGTAAATAATTGCTTTAAATCTCATTATAATCGTCTGTCAATTGGTGAAGCATCGGTGCAGGAAACATGGGTGTCAGTGCGACGCTGGGTGACTTGGTCTTCTATATTGGCTGTGTCTACATTCCACCTACCATGGATGTTTCGTATTATGAAAATATATCATTCGTACTGCTGGCGAAAACATTTTGGGTCGTGACTGGATGGCAAATTTTGGTATCAAGATTGACTTTATAAATAATACCTATCTCTGCCAACCAATCAATTGATAAAATCATTTCTGAATTTCCATCTTTATTTTCTGATAATTTGGGTAAATATTGGTTCACAAAAGTGAATTTGGAGGTTAAAGAGGATCATAAACCGATTTTTTGCAAATATAGGTCAATTCCGCTGGCTTTTCAGGAAGCTGTTAATACTGAGCTTAAGAAGCTCGAAAAAGATGGAGTTTTAACCCAATAGAACACAGTGATTGGGCAACTCCCCATTGTTCCAGTTATTAAAAGCGATAAATCGATTCGAATTTGTGGTGATTACAAAACCACCGTGAACAGATTTTTGATGCCTGGAAATTATCCTTTGCTGCGCATTGATGACGTTTTTTCTAAGTACGGCAAAGCTCAATATTTTTCAAAAGAGATTTAAAGTCAGCTTACAATCAGATTGAGGTTGGCGAAGATACTGCAAGAATGTTGGCACTGACAACACCTAAGGAAATTTTCAAAGTAAATAAAATGCCATTCGGAATCATGCCAGCATCGAGCATCTTTCAAAGAATTATAGAGCAAACACTCCAGGGTTTGAATGGAGTGGTGAGTTTTTTGGACGACATTGTTGTATCGGGAACCACTAGAGAAACCCACAATGAAAATTCAAGGAAAACCTTCAAAAAGCTGCAGAATGCAGGTTTTACTTTGAAAAAAGAAAAATGTAGTGTTTTTGAAAAAGAAATTACATATTTGGGGTACTAAATAAGCAGACAGGGAATAAAAAAATTGGTCAAAGCGATTCTGGAAGCCGGAAGACCGTCTGACGTTGGGGAAACACGTAGTTTTATAGGCTTGGTAAATTACTACGCAAAATTTGTTCCCAAACTAGCAAATATCCTACACCCTATATATGAGTTGCTGAAAAAAAAAAAATACTTTTCATTGGTCCAACAATTGTGAGGAAAGCTTCCAAGAAATAAAAAATCATGGGTTCAGACATTACTTTGACACATTTTAATCCAGAATTCCCAATTGTGGTGACCACTGATGCCAGTAGGAAGGGTTTGAGTGCAGTTTTAAGCCATATAGTGGACGGCCAAGAGAGAATCATAACGTGTGCATCCAGATAACTTTGTCTCCTGCTGAGAAAAACTACTCGGTAACCTGCCTCGAAGCGTGTGCCGTAAACTTTGCCCTCAATAAATTTTTTTCGTATCTGGCATCACCAAGTAAACAATTTGTTATAAAAATCGATCACAAGCCCAGGGGCGTCCATATAAGGGGGGGGGCAAATGGGGCATTTGCCCCCCCCTAGGCCTGGAGATTATTATTGTTTCATGATGCTACCATTGCTACCAGAAGAATAAAAAAACAGAATAGCAAAAGTGATACTAAAAGTTGCTTACACAATAAATAATAATTGTCAAATTGACATTCTGTCTGTGCAATGTGTGTTTATTTTTTAAAATGACGTCATTACAAATGAGTACAGTTTAGACTGCTTATGTTCATTCAGTAATACGTATGATTACCTATTGGGCGTCGTTTTTTATCTGACACTTTCCGTATGAGTAGCGACGGGGTGAAGCACATGGCAAAAACCCAATGAACTATAAACTACACGTATCTGGAATGGCACCGACCGTTGTCGGATATGGCATTTGTCATCTCGCTCAGTGCGTCCAAAAAAGCTACATAGTGGGGGATACCTTTCTCTCTCCAGTTCATTGCTGTTAGGTTTGGTCTGAGGTTTGGTATATTCCTAATCCCAAATATAATCTTCTATAGACAAGGAAAGATTTCCATAATTCGCCAATAAGATAAATAGAGATAGGTATCCCCCACATTGTCCATCTCAAGTTGCCGCAAATTTATAGATCGGTGGGCCATTCCAGGTACGTGTAGTTTATAGTTCATTGCAAAAACCACATAAAAACAGGTATGACGTCAGGTAACCATTGACGTTTTAACATAGGGAGCCACCAGCTCACATTTTTTCGGAGTATCAGATTAAAATCGACGGACTTTACATAAATGGTTTTATTTACGACTAC